ACATCCAGCCAAAACACTTGCTTCACAAGCATTTTTATCTGCATTTAGTAAGGCATCAGAGTGTTTTGCCTCTTCATTTCCAGCATAGTTTTTACTTTCATCAACATGAAGATCAACAACTTTGGACCTGGCAACTTCTGGGTCATCATTCGCCTTTTGGTTTATAGAAAAAGGTAAAGAGCACCACAATGACTTATTCCTTTTCTGCTTATTACTGATGCAGCTGTCAGTAGTCAGTAATATCTGATCCTGTGAATACCCTTTACATTCACTTTTTGACTCCACCTTAAATGAACTTCCAGCTGATCCATAAGGAGATGAGCGCAAAGTATCAGACTGGGGAACTTTTTTCTCTAATGAAGTTTGAGGACTATGATCAACAGAATGAGAAGCTTTCTCCTTAAAATCCTCGAAGTTAACAAAATCCTCAATTGAATCAAGAATATCCTGACACTCTTTTTGAGACTCACTCTCATAATCTATATTAGCTTTCTCCAGAACTTCATCAATGGTCGCTGCAGGTAAAAGGGGACTCAGAATTGTGTCACAAATAAGTTCATCATCAGTGTTTATATCTTCAGCAGCCTGTGAAGTGGCAAGCCACCTTAAAAGGCCCAAGGCTTCTTCATCTGCAACCTGAAAAACATGTTTAGGGAATACATTAAGTCCCTCTAGCATATACAGCACGAAATGAGAAGACAGAAGAATGAGCTGGTTCGTCTCCATCATTAGTTATAATTCTTTGCTGTTCAGTAAGTTCTGAAATGATCATATCCATTACTTAGGAACACACAATATAAACACTGTTTTCTGTGAGTTTAGCAGTCAAATTGCTCACTTGAAATTTTCGTTGTTGAAATTGTTTTTCAGATTGTGGTAGCAGTTTAGCTTTCTATGACTATGAGTAAATGATACATGCTTGCCTAGGAACGATCTCCTTTAACAGTTACAAGACTTGAGCTAGCTAAAAAAAAAAAATCATGATAATGATGACCACAAAAGATGATTATAAAGCAATGTCCAATATAGATACAACAAGTCAGCACTTACAAACATGGAATGAACTACCTTTGGATCCACTGTTCCAATTATTTCAGATGATAGTTTCAAGCACGAATCCTTCATTTCCGTGGGTGTCACATCCGTCTCTTCACATACAGAACCTTGTGCTGAAGATTGAATAGTGTCTTGTTCTGCAGAGCACTTTAAAAATTCTTCATTGGCATTATCAGAATTGACATTTTCATGTTCAGCAAAATTTTCTCCATCAGTTGTAAAAGTCACTGTCGGCAAAACATTTATTTTACTTTCACTCAAAGGTAAATCGCCTTCTGTCTTGAAACACAATTCAGAAAGTTTTCTCTCGAATTCAAGAGCATGTAAAAGCGTTTTCAAAACATCCCCTGGAAGTGGTTTTCCTGGATCAGGCAGAATGGTAACCTCATTAATGCCAGTCCTTTCATGCTCTTCCTGTATCACCAGAGGGACAAGTTGAAAAGGGAATATCCAGACAACATAAAAGTTCACATATTGCATGTAAAACAGCAGCAAATGGAACAAACCTCCCAAATGGGTATAAGTGATTGAACCATTTTCACATCTGAGTGTGCTTGTGAGAGGGATGTATACATTTTACTTTGCTGATTAAGAATATCTGCTAACATCCAAATGGTCAACGATTTTAGCGCTGAAATCATAATTTAAATAGTTTCAGTGGCACAACAATGGAGCAAACAAACCATCAATGGTGGCATCTCCCTCAAGGTTACAAACGCTTTGACGTTTACAACGTTGCATATCTTGGTCTGGTGAAACACCGGATTCACTGGAAAATTGCCACATCCAACTTTTAGGAATAGTAGATGAGATCCAAACTGGGGAAACCAAACACTGACCACCACTTGAATCTGCCTAATGAAAATGATTCACAACAATATAAAAAGTCTGAGAATGTGAATTACAGGGATATGTTTGCCAACGTCTGAAGAGAATGTGCACAGAAAAGTCAAAAGAATGACCTGAAAATCAGCAGAAATGCAAGTTGATTCATCTATCTCTGGTCCATCTTGATGTTTGTTACTAAATTTTCTTGGGGTAAAAGAATCCGGTACTGGATTACGGAACTTCATCTTCGATAAATGTAAATGACCCATTCCATACAAGTTATAGTCAACCTACAAGGAAGAGAGGCTTAGCAACTCACAAAGAACTCTTGCATGTTACCTGGAATTAAGTGACACGGCAATTTTATTTTAAAAAAAAAAAAAGGGATATTTTACAGTACACAATGGACCTTTTGCAAGCACAAAACCAGTTACAGATTAAGAAATTCAGTCAATGAAACCAATATGGGTGTACATACACTTGACTTGAATACACACCTACCAATCATATAGCAAAAGAATTGAAGGGATACGAAATTTACCAGAAACTGGAGAATGAAAGGAATATGAGATTCATGAGGCTGCAAGCTTTTATCAAAAACTGCACCTGACTGTAAAAGATCACATATATGAATATCAGCAAAGAAATCCCACTACAACTTTAACATCCACACCAGGTAGCAAAACTTTACCAGAAGAAGGTTAGCAGCACGAGAGACATCATGTGGATAATATCTAGAATTTATCAAGGAGCTCAGTACAGTAACTCCAAAGTACTATGGAAAGAAAGAACTACAACACAAACATGCACAACAAAACACTTGGATACAGGTATATGTTGACAAACAATTCCTCATCTGAATGGTAACCATAAAACTTCTTCGCTCTCACAAGACTACAGCCATGCACATGCTGTCTTTTCGAACCCACATTTCCTTTAAGCTGCGCACTCAAATCAAAAACCTTCACATGAATCACATCATTTAAAAGTATCATCCATGTACATAAAAAACAGCATCAACAGCAAGATTTACTATAGCAAACCTTCAATGCTTTCTCAAGAGCAAGCGAAATAGCATGTGTGTAAGCATCTCCTGCATAAATTCAACATCTTCAAGAATCACTTACACGTTTATTGTAATGCACATAGAAAAAAAAATATTCCTATCGTAAATCATACCTTCCCGATTTCCATTAATCGGAATATCCAAACACGGTACATATAAATATGGAAAAGCCTACAAAAATTCAAAAAACTAATTTAGCTCAAAGTTATCAAAAAAAAAAAAAACCCAAGAAGACAAGTAACAAGAAAAATCAGTCCAGAAGTCTTAAACTTTTTCACGATAGTCAAATTCAAAATCCTTAATTTTTCCCTTTACAAAACTTAGTTGCCAAACTAATTACAGGAAAAGTAAGTGATAAAATCTTACGCGATGAACATGCAAACAAGTCTTCTGACCAGAAGGTGTCGATCCATAAACCCTAATTACTGGCACTTCATTCACTTTTCCGCCTTCAAGATTACATACAAATCAAAAAATTAGAGACCCTAGGTCTCTGAAATTAACAGAACGACAAGCCGTTTTTGGTGGACATTCTTTGTTACCTTGAAAGCTACTGTAACAAATATCGACGCCAGGAATCGGAGGCGACATGTAGTGATCGATCGTTACGATTCGAAGGCTGAAGATTTTAGAAGAATTCGGAGGCTGTGAATCTGCCATTGATCTTAACCTAATTTACCTAACTTACCATTACAAATTTGAGAGAAGAAATGCAGAGCTTTGAATTCTGCAGTGATTTTTTTGTTTTTTGTTTTTTGTTTTTAATTTGGCGCCAGGGTTTCCCTCTTTATAAATCATAGGAAATGTTACGGTGCTTGTAAGTTATATGAATTATTATGACATAGCAAATAAGATCGCGAGAAATGAGTATAAACATTACGAGATATGCAGTTATTTCGTGCCTCTACTTTCGGTGTGATAACTAATAAGAAATATGTGGTAGACATGAAGGTACTGAAGCATGACCAAGCTTCTCGTGTACTATTTTGTTTTGGTTTGACATTTGAGGACTTTAACTTTGGTCTATTTGCATTTGAGTGCTTGGTTATTTTCTTATTTTGTTTTGATACCATACTTTATAAGATTATCATGTTATCATGTCAATTTTATTTTGTTAAAGTATTTTCTCAAGGAAGACTTTGTAGAAGGTTTCTCAACTCTTTGGTAAACGAATTTTGACGTCTTGATTTTTAATTAAACCAAGCATTTTAATTCTTAATTAGCTATTTTCTAACAAATTTTATGTTGAGCACAAACATATAATTAGGCAGAATTAAGTTTTTTCAAGAGAAAATTTTGTTTTAATTTATTTTTAAAATTTAATAATTCATAAAAATCTTTCTTAAAATAATTTACAAACTATTTAAAAATATTTATATGGATGTTTTTAGTTAGTTAAACTCTTATAAAGATGTTTGTCTTCTTAATAATAACACTTTTCAAATTAAATTTGGCTTGAAAAAGCATTGTTTTTTATGTTTTTTAAGTCAAACATGATTTAAACTATGTAGCTCAACGTTATTCTTTTTAGAAATACAGTTGAAATCATATTTTTTAAAATTTTAATTTTTTATTAAAAATAATTTTTTTATGTTTTCAAATCTTTTTAATGTTTTGATCTCAAAAATAATATTTAAAAAAATATTATTTTAATATATTTTTAAATAAAAAACATTTTAAATTATAATTACTGCCCCTGTCATAATCCTAGACTCAGAGCTCTTTCATAAGAACTAGCTTTTATACATCATTCAACAAGGTAATGAGTGGGGAAATCACTTCTTCATAACAATAACTAACTAGAGCAAGTTTTCACCCACAAAATATTCATCGCTACTTGTAGTTTCACTCTTAGGAAGAAGAAATGTGCCATCATTTTGAGCTCCTGAAGCAAGAAATGGCATTTTCCTGTAACCTCTATTTGGTCTAGTTGAATTTGGTTTTGGTGATACAAGCCATTGGAAGCACAGGCACTTCACAGTATGGAAATTAGCCGACTATGTAAGATGTTCAAGTTAGTTGAATGTCAATTAGAGGACAAGAGAACTTCTGTTCTTCATTATTTATCAAGTTTATTACACCAGGACATATGTGCCATAAGGCATCTAATAAGAATTACAGATATTGGTGATTTAAAATGCTCAAAATTTTTATGTAAGAGTGCCTGCATAGCAACAAATGATATCGAGCTAGAATACATTGTGTTGTGGAGAAGCTTTAGATTGAAACACTGTTTGGAATTCCCCTTGCAGTGAGCCCAGGGCCACTGGTAGGAACCAACAGAGTGTATGACACCTTGACTGGCCCAACACGATTCTTATATCTCGCTTCTCTGTTCATATCCAATATCCTGTCCTCAATGACTGCCAGTTTCCTTCCGAATTTCTTAAACGCCTCTGTTGGTTCTTTGTCTGCTGTCCATTCAAGAATGTCTCGCTGCCCAAGATACACCTCGTCTGAGGAATGCCTTGATAGAATTTCTATGAGGGAAATGCCAAGAAGTGTTTGCAACTGGGCAGTGATTGTTTCCAAGAAAAACTTGTCAGGGTTCGACTTGAGTTCCTCGTACTGAGGAGAGTCTTTCTGTGGCATGAATCTACGGCTTGTGCTTGGACGATTCGGAAGGTAGCCTCCATAAGGGTATTGCCCAAAGTTGACAGCTGCATGAAGAGCTGATCCCACCCATATGATTATGGTACATGATTCTATCAGCTCTTCACGAGTCCGCATCTTTGGCCACCATGGTGCATCTTTCTGGTCACCATGCCCTACCTCTCTCACTTCCTTCCACCAAGATTGGATTTCAGTGTCGTTTTGAACCATTTCATCAGTCTTGTAGTAGAAAGAGCAGTAGTCTCTGACCCATTCTTTGATTGCCGACCATATCTCAAGTCCATCGACGGCATATGGGTAATCTTTTATCAGGAGACGAACACCATGCGGAGAATTTGGATCATCAACTGCCACTCCTCTGAATAAAACAAGGTAGCATGTAATCGAAATAAAATAAAGCGTTATTAGAGCATTCATCAAGGTTAAATTCCCAAGCATTATGGAATTTACTAGAGTTATTGTTCCTGGAGTCTTATATTAGCATACATTTCTCTATGTTTCTATTATCACAAGTTCACAACTATGAATTAGCCTTTACAAATAGACTAGGATTTACCTCTTCTTCAAATCCTCAGGAAGTGCTTGCTCAGTGAAATCCCAGCTTCTGTAAAGTGATGATGACATTTCTAAGGCATACTTCGAAGGATAAACTGTCATTTCCAGAAATCCACCAGCATTGATGAGGATCTGCCTTGCGAGTGCATTTATGTACATTGTGTCCCGGAAGTGAGGTTCTAGTAGTTTATGTATCGGATGAAGCACACTGAGGTGCCTATTTGTTGCAATCACAAATGGCTCAATTACTGCATGAGTATGCAACCTGTTACAAAAACAAGAAAATTTATAAACAGAAATTAATTAATGAACTGCATCAATATTTTTTTCTTGAAGTAGTTGATTTTTCTTCGCCGAAGCATACCAGTGGCTGATAAGCTGATGATAGCCGGAGTCGTTTACACCCACATAAGCTTTAGCCAGCTGCCAAATGAAACTTTCAACACCAGTTTCAGCTGGGGTGTAGACTTCGCTTTTCGATCCATATTTATCTCCCTCTTCATGGGGTGAGCTTAACTCAATTGCAAGTGGCTTCAAAGTTCCGTCATCTTTCAAGAAAAGCAGGGTTCTTGTGGCATAAGTCTTTGTGGAAGTAGTGTTTATCCTCCTCAGATATGGCATCAATGCATCATGATGATCTAATATGAACATCCTGTTGTTCCTGATTGCCTATGCAACAAACACTCTTTTAGCCTAAATTGTTTTTTTATAGGCGATTAAATTCAGCAGTTCCATCTGAGAAGAATCCGCGATCTGATTTGTAAACTCAATTGTCAAAGAAACTAATACAGATAGAGCATTACCTCATCGATGGTCAGTCCATCCAGACTATTCTGTATGTGCTCCTCAGTTATCTTACTATTTTGGTCACCATATAGCTCTGTATTTAGCTTGCTTTTCGGGGGGAATTCCTGCGTTCCAAGGAATTATTATTCGAAACAAAGAATGAGAAGATCTGTAATCCATAAACTCCCAAATGGTTCTTTGTCTTGATAAATTTTCCAAACAGAAATATTTATTAGAACTTCCGTGTACCTCAAGACGACGAATGAGAACAGGGTTTACTCCAGCCAACATTTCTCTGCCAAATTCTTCATCAGTCCTCCAAGCAGAATGATTATCTGTGTAACATATCATAATTAAGTAGTCGGAAAAAGAGATAGGTGAATGCATGTCTATAAAATAGCCCAAACATAGAGTTAATTGTTTAAGTTCAAACCTTTAATCACTTGAGGCTTTGGAAATTCGAAAAAACGTTCCCCATCAGTTCGGAAAATTTCCTCAAGAAACTCCAAGGGAAAGTTTTTCCTGATGTTATCTAATAGAGGAACATGAGGCAGCTCAATTCCTCCCTCATAGAGTTTCAATACATCATCAAAAGAGTCAAACTCGTTAGGGGTGGTGTCAACAAATGTATCCACTCCATTTTTAACAACTTGAGCTACGGTTTTCAGAGCATAAGCAAGGAAGTCTGCCATCTTCAGATGACCAAATCGTTCATCTCTCGGAACATATATGCTTAAGCTCTTCAGAAGTGGCAGCCTGCTCTCAGTGTTGGGATCTGCTTAGGATAACAAGATCATCGAACAACTTTAGAAATGACAAGAAGGATAAAAACACAATTAAACAGTACAAAAATCTGATTTCCATTGATGACATTATTGAGATTCTCAACCGGATGATGACCTTCTTTTTTGCGGCCTGTTCTTCCCCTACGAGGATAAGGGTGCTCCGAAGAGCCACCAAGAACAGGACGGAAATACTCTGAACCCTTTTTAGAAGATCCCAAATCATTATAAAAATCATAGTCATAGACGCGATCCCATTCCTTAAGCTCTCCTTCTCCATTTCCTCTCAAATGAAACAGTTCTTCTTCCCTGTACTTACGAAGCGGTGCTGGTGTCTCGTGTGGCAGATATGTCTATCAAATGTATCAAAAACTTTAGCTCAGGATAACATGTACAACTACCTTCAGCCTTTTATGGTTACTTACGTACCTTGTTAGTGAAGAAAATACGAGGTTTACTGTAATGTTCTGCAGGATAAATCCACGATTTGCAAACAAAATGGACTCGGCCAAGGCCAGGAACACCTTCAAGTGTGACAGTCTTAAGGTAGAATTCACTCTGATGATTATTTTTTACTAGCAACGCCCCTGGAATTCCAATCTCCTCATCCCAATTAAAGGTAACTTGGAATGCCGTCTCGCCTGCTGTTAAGGGAGTGACTGTAGTGATCCATTTTTCCAAATATGCAGGTTTTCCTAGCTTCCCTTTCAAATCATTCGCTACAAAGGGGCATCAAAATCCACATCAGTCAGCTAACAATGCAATCTTAGGAAATTGCAGGTCTACAGTAACAATTATAATGATGGGCTACAATTATGACCAGTCAAAGTTCTTTATAGATAACCAAGGCTGGATTTTAAGGTCAATAGTGACCATGAAAATCAAGATATTTCACTACGATGTTTCACTTTCCGGATAGGCTGTGGCTTGTGGCTTGTTGAAAGCCAACGTCATCTTTAATTAATTGTATATGCTTGTCATAATCACTCACACAATGCATCCAGCTGAATCAGACAAATGGAAGGTAGCTGCTGCAAAATGTTTGTGTATTGAAAATAATTTTTTAGTTATCAAACCCCAGGTTACGTACAGGTGAGTTTACCCATTTAAACTCAAATTTTGATTTAAAAAAAAAACATTAAACAACATTTTTTCAAACCGCAAAATCAAATGAGGTTGTGGAGCCAGAAGACTTATCAACAACTAGGCCACCAAGGCACCCCAGGAGACCACCCAATACCAAACAGTAGGAGAATATCCACAAAGGCTTTCATCAGATACGAGGAACCAAGTTCAAGTCTATGATCTGTTCGGTTTTTAAGGAGCTAATTGATTTATGACAAGTAATTTAATTAATCAATACTAAGTCACCAGTCCATCACTTCCTTTTTTGTGCTTGCAGGATCAGAACTTGCAGAAACACCATACTACAGGCAGCTCACAAATTAGGGTGTTTCGCATTTTAGTAACTTGTATGGCAAAATGAGTCATGATTTGCAACCTGCATGATGGATACTGCTAGGATAAAATTTTGTTGGTTTCTTTCTGGTATATGGCTTATACTCTCTCCTCTGGCTTTTTTTAATCTTTTCCTTGCTCCATAATTCTAGGTGTTTCTAATGAGTCTCCTCTACAGTGATCCAGGAAAAAAGAACATATCCCACCCAAAAAGAACAATGAAAAATGGCCTTTTAGGGGTGAAAAGGCATCAAGTAATGAAAAAGCAACAAAATGATAGAAGAAGAACAGATTGTGTATGTACCTGAAGGGTCACTGTTAACGGCACTAACGAGTTGCAGAGAGACTCCTTGGCCTAAAAACTCATGAACACGGTCATGAATCGAAGCATTTAAATCAGTTAAGTCCAGAACATTCTTCTTCATCAGCACAACAGTGCCTCTTATCTTCTTTTTACAGTCCCCTGTACAACAACCAGTGATGGCATCAATAATGTTCTGAAACATTTCTTTTCCTCTCTTCTGTTGCTCACTTCTTGGTGCTGAACAAAGAGTTCAATCTACAGTTGGCTTTAGAAAACAATGTAATGCGCGTCAAGGGAACGGTTGTGTGGTAGTATTTATAGAGAGGGACTACACATATGGCTAAGACCAAGAACCTTCATTTGTTCATATTGCAGCTTGCTCTAGTTATTGCATTTTATCAGGAAAGGGAGACTTTTTTTGCTCAAGTCTTCGTTTCATATGAAACCATCCTGTCTTTAGTCATTTAATACGTTCATGAATTACTGACCTACTCCTTACAAGCATAGTTTTAAAGCCCGGCCCGGCCCGGCAGGTTGATCCGGGACCCGGCCGACCCGAGGCTGGAACCGGGCCGAGTTAATGAAAAAATAAGATAAGCCATGACCCGGCGTGACCCGGTCGACCGGCGGGTTGAACCAGAAACCCGGACGACCCGGCAAAACCCGGTCAAAAACCCGGTGATAACCCGTTGACTTTTATTTATTTTTTATTAAAACGATGTCGTTTTGATTTTTTTTTTAAATAGAAATTGACCCGTTCGATCCGGTCAAAACCCGATAACCCGGTCAAAACCTGGAACCCGAACCTTGAACCGGGCCAGCCACCAGGCCGGGTTTAAAAACTATGCTTACAGGGACAGTTACTATAGAAGCCCACATGAACCTCGTTTTTGTTGTTTTTAAGATTTTGACTGAGTTAATTTACATTATATCTGATTCAACTTGATCTGATGAGGAAATTTACAAATATCCAACATTGAGACCTCAAATGGAATAAAAAAAATAATCCAATAAAAGAAAGGCAATTGGGCATCTGTGTACATGAATCCTTCTCTGGATCCGTAATACCCAAAATAAAAATAAAATGGATTTGAAAAAATCAATGGCGCTCTTGTGTATATTATTACAGGTATTAATGATTCATGAGTAAAATAGACAATTCACATGATTTTATATATATATATATATATATATATATATATATATATTTGCCAATAACTTTATATTAACATAGAGTATTTAGTATACGTATATATAGTAATTTGTATACCTAGATAATAAAAAAGATATTAACCTATAGTGATTGAATATTTTATAATGATTAAGATTATAAACCTTGTTTGTTTTATTATCTGTTATCTGAAATGTATTTCATTATTACATAAACATAATTTATAATATTTATGATATATATTTAATGTTATAATTAGTTGAATTCATATTTTTATTTTAATATTTTTTTTAGGTTTTTAGATTCTATTAACAAGAAAACTTTATTGAAAGTTCATACTTTTTTTTTTAGTTAACATATTTTATTTTTTTTACAAGAATTTTTCTCTAGTCTTTATTTAATGTTTTAAAGTGCTTTATTATTATACTATTTTATTTAAATTTTAAATTTTTATAACTATTATGAACCATAATTGGTTTTTGAAAAATATATTAAAATTTTATAAAATAACATATAATTTATTTTATAAAAAATATGTTTAAGGCATAACATATGATAGTTATATACTTGAAAGTATAGTTTTAAAATCTGGCCTGGTTCAAGGTTCGAGTTTTGATTGAGTTACCGGGTCAGTTAGGTCAAATTTTATTTTTTAAAAAAATCAAAAGGACATCATTTTAATAAAAAAAAAAACCAAAAAAATAAAACTCAACGGGTTTATAATGAATTCTTAACCAGATCTTGTCAATTTATACTGAATTTTTATTTTTTTTTATTTTTTTAATGTGATTCGATTCCAGCCCTAAATTAATCAAGTCTTGAGTCAACCCATCAAGACAGACTGAATTCCAAAACTAAATTTAAAGGTGGAGTTGTAACATGATAATTTTTACATAGCTACCATTTTTTTTTATCATAGCTCGATGAGATGTGCAGTGGAGGAAAGTCTAAAATAAGAATCCAGTTTTCTATTATATTTTATAATGAATTCTTAACCAGATCTTGTTAGTTTATACTGAATTTTTATTTTTTTTATTTTTTTTTAATGTGATCCGATTCCAGCCCTAAATTAATCAAATCTTGAGTCAATCCATCAAGACAGACTGAATTCCAAAACTAAATTTAAAGGTGGAGTTGTAACATGATAATTTTTACATAGCTACCATTTTTTTTTATCATAGCTCGATGAGATGTGCAGTGGAGGAAAGTCTAAAATAAGAATCCAGTTTTCTATTATATTTATATTATATTCATCACAAAATAAGTACAAAATAACAGCAGGGAGTCAGGAGGAGCACACAAGCAACTAGCAATCACAATGATAATGATACTCACGTATCAAATTTTTATCGTATTTATATTTTATTTATTATGGTTAAAAAATTAGATATTTATAATTTATTTTATCAAGATTGGAATATTTGTTTGGATATTTATTATTTAACATGAAATAAAAGAGTAATACACACACACACCCACTATGTGAATATTGAAGAATGTATGCATTTATTGGATTAAAAATCTCTTGCAAGAAATTTAGTGTCATTTTATATTGATTTTATTATTAAATTAAAAGTTACTTGGGTCATTATTATAATTTAACATATATTAAATATTATTTAAAAAAATAATATTGACTTTCAAGGCAACATATATTGGGTAATCAAACACCACTTTCCACGAAAGTATTGGAAAGGTGTTGACATCCTCTCTATGATGGGATGATGCATGCTTCAAATACGTCTCCAGTTTAGAGACATCAACCTTTTCTTTTTATTTTTTTTCTCGAATTCAATGCTAGCCCTTACAAAAATCCAGACTAACTCCTCTAATTTATTTTTCATTCAGTAATATTATTTTAATTATTTTTTTATTTTAAATAATTTATAAAATTACAAATATTTTTAATTTGACCTTAATTATTTTTTAGTCTTTCAAATTTAATTTTTATTTTTTTGATTGGTTACCGATATAAAAGGATAATAAGAGTCAACATTTGATTTATTAAAAATTAATTTTTGTATTTTTTTTATTTTTATTGGGTTGTTTCAATTACATATCCATGGTAACGAAGTTAGTGGGTTAACTTAAGTTAATAAATAAAAAATTACATATCCATGGTAACGAAGTTAGTGAGTTAACTTAAGTTAATAAATAAAAAAATTCATTATTTTTTTAATTAATTTTTTTTATTCTTCATCATTGGATTTTACAATAATTGAGCTTAATAATTTTATTTAATTTATTTTCAAGCACAATTACCATGGCATCATGACATAATCAAAGATTTTACATCTTGACTCAAATGAACTCGGATTAAGTTTTTTCAATTTTTTTTAATTTTTTAATTTTTAACATTTTATTTGCTAAAGATTAAGTTTAAGATTTTTTTTCTTTTTATTTTATTTTGTATAGAGTTATTATAATCTTATTTAATTTATTAGGGATTGATATTCAATTTTTTTATACTTTATAAGATTATCTTAATTTTGTGTTCATGATTGCCAAGCTTGTGAATTAATCCGATTTAACTAGAATTTTTTTTATTTTATCTTTTTCTTTGTTATTTTTTATTAGTTTATTTATTGTTGTTATATTTTTTATTTGTATTATTTAAATTATTAATTAAACTATTTTTTTTATCATTGTGTTATTTTTTTATCAGTTTACTAAAAAAATTTATTTGTGTTATTTGTTTTTCAATGTTGGATTTTTTTATTTCAAATAAACACAAGCACAGCACGAACCACAAATCTATTATCGTATCTATTACTCATTTCGTAAAATAATTATCCAAAAAAATTCACATATCTGGTTCAATTGGTTAAATTATTATCCCTGCCAACAACTCAAGAGAAGAGGATGAGAAACGGCATCATCTAGCTAAGCTCATATTCACGCAGTGGAGAACGATTGCCCCATTTGTTGGCCATAGAAGATTAAGCTACTTGACGCAGCTTTTCTTGAGGATGGTAGCTATTTATGAACCAGACGATGCCATGCAAGTTGCCTACCGGTGAGATTGATTTGAATCTGGAACCTAAGCCTGCATGTCCGGATACTGTTGATAGATATGGACGAGGAAGAGAAGGAGATGCTCTTTGAAGCTAAATCTCAGTTAGCTAAAAAAAACGCTAGGGAGAACAGCCTGAAGAAGAAGCTATGAAGCTTGCTTCTTTGCAGAAAATGATGGAACTGAATGCTTCTGGTTTTAATACAAGGGCAAAGGAAGAGGAAAAGAGACATGATCGATTATAATGAATATGAAATCCCCTTCGTATTTATCCAACTGATAATATAGATTAGATGCTTAAAGACTTATCAGTTTTCTGGTTTTGAATTCTGTGTCAAACAGCAAGCTAAGCATGCTTCATGAAGTCAAGAGACTTGGAAATCATCAAATTTGAAGAAATTAACAAAACTGAAAGGCCTGGAAAGCTAGAAGCCTCATCTAACTAAACTGAAAACAGACTCTTTTAGGGCCTACTTTCTTAAACAACAGAAATTGAAGGGAAACAAAAACATATGTTGTAGGAGTGAGTTGTAATTGGAGGCTCAATCAGTAAGGTCTCTCCCGTCTCATTTATTTAAGTATAGCCTCGCAGGAATCTCTTCTGCGTTGCAGAGTCTAACTGGTTTAAGTTATGAAAAACTTTAGAACAGCAACAAGAACTAGTTTTCATCATTATTTATAAAATTTATTATATCAAGACATATGTGCCTTGAAGCATCTAACAAGAATTACAGATATTGGTGATTGAAAATGCTTAAACTCGTTAGTTACAAAGAACCTTCATATCAAGAAATTAATGATGTTAAAGTACAACAAATAGTTTTGTAGAGAAGCTTTAGATTGAAACGCTGTTAGGAATTCCCCTTCCAGTGAGTCCACCTTCACTGGTAGGAACCAACAGAGTGTATGGCACCTTGACTGAGCCAACACGATTCTTCAGGTTCACATCTTTGTTCATATCGAACATCCTGTCCTCGATAACTGCCAGTTTCTTTCCAAATTTCTCAAACGCCTCTAATGGCTCTTTGTCTGCTGTCCATTCAGGAGTGTCTCGCTGCCCAAGATACACCTCATCTGAGGAGTGCCTTGACAGAATTTCAATGAGGGAAATTCCAAGAAGTGTTTGCAACTGGGCAGTGATTGTTTTCAAGAAAGCCTTTTCAGGGTTCGACTTTAGCTCCTCATAATCAGGAGAGCCTTCTTCAGGCATGAACCTACGGCTTATGGTTGGACGATTCGGAAGGTATCCTGCATAAGGGTACTGACCAAAATTGACAGCTGCATGGAGAGCAGATGCCACCCATATGATTATGGTACATGAATCTATTAGCTCTTCACGAGTCTTCATCTTTGGCCACCAGGGTGCATCTTTCAGGTCACCATGCCCTTCCTCTCTCACTTCCTTCCACCATGATTGTAGTTCAGAATCTTTTTGAATCATGTCATCATCCTTGTAGTAGAAAAGGCAATAGTCTTTCACCCATTCTTTGATTGCAAACCATATCTCTAGCCCATCAACTGCATATGGGTAATCTTTTATCAGCAGGCGAACACCGTGTGGAGCCTTTGGATCCTCAACTGCCACTCCTCTGAACAAACAAGGTAGGATGTTATTGCAATGAAATACAACATTATCACCGAATATAACCAAAGTTTAAATTCCTAAAGCATTATAACATCATTTACTGAAGTTTTAGTTCCTGAAGTCTTGAAAATTGTGAACACCTATGAATTATCCTTTTAAGAGTAAACTACGAAGGTTACCTCTTCTTCAGATCTTCAGGAAGTGCTTGCTCAGTGAAATTCCAGTTCTTATAAATTACCGATGACATTTCCATGGCATACTTTGCAGGATAAACTGTTGATTCCAGGATACCACCAGCATTAATTAGTATCTGCCTAGCTAGCGCATTTATGTTCATTGTGTCGCGGAAGTGAGGTTCCAAGAGTTTATAGATCGGGTGAAGCACACTGAGTTGTCTATTTGTTGCAATCACAAATGGTTCACTTACAGCATGAGTGTTCAAAAAATGGCTAATAAGCTGATGGTAACCAGAGTCGTTTACACCCACGTAAGCTTTAGCCAGCTGCCAAATGGTACCTTCAACACCGTCTTCAGCCGGGGTATAGACTTTGCTAATGGCTCCAAATTCATCTCCCTTATCATGAGGCAAGCTTAACTCAATTACAAGTGGCTTCAAAGTTCCATCATCTTTCAAGAAAAGTAGAGTCCTTGAGGCGTAAGTCTTTGTGGTAGTAGTGTTTATCCTCCTCAGGTATGGCATCAATTCATCATGATGATCTAATATGAACATCCTGTTGTTCTTGATTGCCTATTCAACAACAAATAATTTCAGCTACGGTTGTTTTTTTCTTTAATGGGATGACTAAATTCAGCATCTCCATCTGTGAAACATTCACAGATCTGATCTTAAACTCAACTGTCGAATAAACTTATCGAGAGATTACCTCATCTATGGTCAGTCCATCCAGATTGTCCTTGATGTGCTCCTCTGTTATTGAGCTGTTTTGATCACCATATTGCTTGCTGTTTAGTTTGCTTTTGGGAGGGAATTTCTGCAATGATTTGTTATTAGACACAAAGAAAAAACATATGATACATATTTCGGAGACAGAAAATTCTACTGGAACTTTAGCTTACCTCAAGACGACGAATGATAACTGGGTTTACTCCAGCCAGCATTTCTCTGCCAAATTCTTCATCAGTCCTCCAGGCAGAATGATTATCTGCAAAGGATATCATAATTTCGTGGCCAAAAGGGAGATGGGTGAATGTATGTTTATGAAATATTCCAAACATAGAGTTAAATGTTTTAGTTCAAACCTTGAATCACTTGAGGCTTTGGAAATTGGAAGAGGTTTTCGCCATCAGTTCTAAAAATTTCCTTAAGCATCTCCAAGGGAATGTTTTTCCGAAGATTATCTAATAGGGGACCTTCAGGAAGCTCAAAGCCTCCCTCATAGAGTTTCAATACATCATCAAAGGAGTCAAACTCATTAGGGGTGCTGTCACATAATGCTTCCAGTTCAGGCTTGACAAATTGAGCTATAGATTTCAGTGCATAAGCAAGGAAGTCTGCCATTTTCAAGTGACCGAATCGTTCATCTCTTGGAACATAAATGTTTAAGCTCATCAGAAGTGGCTGCCTGCTCTCTGTGTTGGGATCTGCAACAAGATCATGGAAAAGTTTTACAATTGTCAAGCAGTGTGAAATGCAACATAAAATGTGAGATTCTGGATCAACAGGTAATGACCTGATTCGGTTGCTGCTCGGCCTGTTCTGCCCCTACGGGGATAAGGATACTCAGAAGACCCTCCAAGAACAGGGCGGACATACTCTGGACCCTTGTCAGGATCTCCCAAATCATTGTAGTAAGCATAATCGTAAACGCGGTCCCATTCCTTAAGCTCTCCTTCTCCATTTCCTCTCAAATGAACCAGTTCTTCTTCCCTGTATTTACGTAGTGGTGCTGGTGTCTCGTGTGGCAGAAATGTCTGTACAAATGTATCAGAATTTGCTGTAGCTCAGTCAAATATTCACATCTACCCTCATCTTTCTATGTTACTTGATAATTACCTGGTTAGTGAAGAAAACACGATCTTTATTGTAACGTTTTGCAGGATAAATCCATGAGTTGCAAACAAAGTGGACTCGGCCATGGCCAGGAACACCTTCAAGTGTGACAGTCCTGAGGTAGAATTCATTGAGATGATTATTTCTTATCAAGAATGCCCCTGGAACTCCAATCTCCTCATCCCAATCAAAGGTAACTTTGAATGCCGCCTCGCCTGCGGTTAAGGGAGTGACTGTAGTAACCCATTCTTCCAAATATGCAGGCTCTCCTAGCTTCCCTTTCAAATCATTCTCTACAAAAGGGCACCAGAATCCTCATCAGTTAGCTAATAACTATCTTAGGCAATTGCAGGTCCATTTACAGTTAAAATATAAATGAATTCTGTTAAGCCATGTTTTAATTATAAGTTAAGTTAGTTCAGATTAATTAAGTAGTAAAATGACCTCTTAGAAACTTCGTTTCACTGCGATGTCCTAATAATTATTTAGTAATAACATGCTTACTGTCTCGAGAAAAGAGAGAGAAGAAAAAAACAGAGATAGGAGGGACACAGCAGACTTGTCTCCTTATCATTGGAAGAACAAAAATTTAATCCAAAACTATTTCAATGATGTATTTTATTTTATATTTTTATATTTCATTTTTATAACCAAACAAATTTTATGTTTAAGCTTGTTTTTTTTTGCGCTTTGAAATCAATTTAAAAAAATAATTTTTTATTTTTTATTTCAAAATATTTTTTCATGTTATTAAATTATTTTAATATAATAATAAAAAATAAAAAAAATATTATTTCAATATATTTTAAAATATAAATAACTTTAAAAAATAACCACTTATATAATACCAAATCAATTATTTATGTCCCCATTCCTCGTCATGATTCATGCATGTATTTAGAGGGCATTTGAAATTGTGTTTAAAAAATATTTTTAAAAAGATTTAATTTTTTTCTTTGAATTTATATATTTTTAATATTTTTAAATTATTATAATGTATTAATTTAAAAAAAAAATTAAAAAAATTATTAACATACTTTTTTAATGAAAAATACTTTAAAAATTAATTACAATTATATTTCAAACACGCTCTAAAAAGGTAGGAGTTGAGGATTCATATCTTATTAAGATAAGATCTCATAATAGAAATGTGTTTTTTTTTTTAAATTTAAAATTTATTTTTTTTTAAATTTATTTTTTATATTTTTTTGATATGTTAATTTTAAAAATATTTTTTTAATAAAAAAAATACTTTTAATAACAACCATTGATCCGGTACCAATTACATTATTAAGAAGTAGGAAATCAGTGAGCTCCCTAACAAGCAGATCATGAACTGAGACTTGGTTATACACTCATCTGATTCCCTTGAAATGCTACATTTTTGCTTGCTTTACTTCTCTCTAATGTCCTTGAGAATATAGCTATTAGTCTACTGCATATTCAAGGTGAAACCATGCATGGAAACTAGTAAATGTAGGAAATCAAGCACTGTCCTGTTCTATCTCTACGATCCCACTGCACAGGTTCAAAGTATCCCACCAGAAAATAATGGTTTTCGAGGCATAAAAAATAAGCAACAAAATAAAGAAGTAATACTGTTACTCACCAGAACGGTCACTGTTAACAGCGCTTATGAGTTGCAGAGAGACTCTTTGGCCTAGCAACTCATGAACACGATCAAGAATTGATGCGTGGAAATCATTGAAACTCAAAACATTCTTCTTCATCAACACAACAGTCCCTTTGATTTTCTTGCACTCACCATCACCACGCTTCAACTTTTTACTCCCATCACTGTTACCAGTAATGGCATCGATAATGCTTTGAAACATCTCTCTCTCTCTCTCTCTCTCTCTTGCTTGCTGTGTTACTAAGAATCTAAAGACAAGCTTTGTTGGCTGCAAGTTACGGTGAGAGAGAAGGGTATGATTATGGTGGTCTTTATTTGATGGCAGTGATTGTATTTTATAGTTTTTTTTTAAAAAATATATATTAAAATAATAATTTTGTCTATTTTTTAAAATTTATTTTTAATATTCTTACATCAAACAACATGAAAATATATATATAAAAAACAAAAGGATATTTATTTATTTTCAAAAATATTCGAACATAAAAACAGACATGCATGCTCGTTCAAAAGAACA